GACTTGATTGGGATGAGATTCCAGATCGAGCAGAAATTTTCGGGCAGGGACGTCAAGCCGCTTCATCCCCATTTCATAGTCACTTTGTTCATAGAACTCAACATCCGCGGCATCAGGGCCTTGGGGTACAAATTGATGTTCAAGACCCTTGGCGCGCCTGATTGTGTGACTGCTCGCATGGCGCACCACCACGCAGCTACTTGGCAAGGAGTTGTCTTCGGATGACTTCAGAATCATACCAACCGTGCCATTGGAGAGGATATAGGCTATTCCATGCCGGGTGGAATAGTCTACCCATTTGTCAACCCGGGGGTATGTGGAACGAGTCCGGACTGTTCTTGTGCCGTATGCTGACCTTGGACGTCTTCCTGCCTCATCAAACCTTCGAGGATCGAGAGCCTTGTGTAGGTCCTGCAGAGAGCTGAGAACATGGGAATTGGAAGACTGGGGGACCAACATAGCCCGGTCAGTCCTCGCGATAATTCTAGGTTGATGTCTGGGTAAAGACGTTGGGCGGGCGGACTCTGATCTTGACTCCGCCCGTTGCCTCTGTTCGGCGTTAACGGGTCTCTGCTTCTCTGCCATTCCCAACACTGCCTGCCTATCGTTTCCACCGGTAGGTTGTAGCACGTGAGGAGGTATGTCGTCTACTGATACTTCCGAGGTAGGAGAGGAGGACTTGGGGCGGGCAGTTGCACCGTCTGCTCCTCCGATGGATCGCGGGATGGTTCTTGTTGGCTGGCTTTCAGGGTTCGGGGTGGCTGTCGGGATCTCGCTTTTGATTCTTCGACCATCCTGTCCGGCCCGGCTTGATTCTTGTTTGCTAATCTTATTGATCCCATCAGGCGCAGTCATCGATCTCGGCAGTGTCCTAGATATCTGGGAAACGGCATCACGCACGGTCGTGCTTCTTGTTGAACGGATGGTGGCAGCTCTTATAGGCCGTTCTCTCAAAAGTGGTTGAGGAGGAGGCTCGATAACTTCCTGTTGTTTTTGCCTGGGAATGTCTTCTTGACCAACGGGCCCTCGTCGGACTGATCCCAAAGGGAGTGCTTGTTGCCTTTGTTGGGCTGCAAAGCTTTGAAACGGTCTAGACGCGGAACTTGCTGGAGGCAAAGGAGCCTTGGATGTCATCACAGGCAATACCTCTGTCTCCGTCTTAGTGATTTTCGAAGAGACAAAGAGTGGTTGTGGTTCCTCTGGAATAGGCTTTCGACTGCGTACGCGTGTAGTTAGCAGTGGATGCTTCTGCCGCGCTGTCCATTCAGCGTGTGCATCTGAGAATTGCTTGTAGAGAGTCCCTGGCGGTAAGGGAACAACTGGTGCACAGCCTTCTCTATTTTCAGCTTCAATTTCCACCAACGTCGAGATGTTTAGACCAGTTCCAACTCCAGCCCGGGGACGGCCATCGGAGCCGATTCCAATACCGCATTCGCGACATATTCTGCCGTGACTGATTCCGTAGCCTGATTGTACTTTGTCTCCACGCGGGTCAGCATTTTCCAGCCATGTCGGATTCGCTCTGAGACAAGAAGTCTCCAATTCGTCAGCGATCGCTCCCATGGTGAAGAAGTCATGTTCAACAAGCTCGTCCATCTCTGGTCTCTCAACAGAGTTGAGGTTTAGACATGAAGCCACAAAATCCTTTGCCTGTTGAGGAATATAATTCTTGCTATCAATCCTCCACTCATATTCTAGCGTCCTCAGTTTCGTGTAAATCTCCTGCTGGGTCTTTGACTGGAAAGGAGGAGTACCCATGAGCATGGCATAGCATATCACCCCAACAGCCCAGGTGTCAACCTTGTTGTCGTGGCCACGGTTGCTGGATTTGCTCAAAATCTCTGGGGCGATGTAGTTTGGCGTCCCACACAGTGTTGTCCGACGATCATGCTCATCTGCCATGACCGCAGCCAATCCAAAGTCTCCAATTTTGATATTCATTCGTGCGTCCAGGAAAATATTGCCCATCTTCAGATCTCGATGAATGACGGATCGCTTGTGCATGTATTTAACTCCTCCGCAGATTTGAATCATGAAACGACGAACTTCAGGTAGACTGAGACAGGAGCGGGTTTTGACCATTTCCGTCAGACTCCCATTGGGGCACATCTGAAGGACTACGTAGGTGTATTCGTCGATGGTGAACGCACGAAGGAATTCGACAATGTTAGGATGATGCATTTTGGCATGGATCTGAAGCTCGGTTCGAAACTTCTCCATCATCTTCTTCTGTTCAACCTTTGCCTTGACGACTTTGAGAGCAAATACTTCGAATGTTGTTTTTGACTTTCCTTCGAAACAAACTGCGAATCCTCCTTTGCCTAGCTTCTTTCCCATCAGATACGTTTCTGGCGACGGGCCCGGTTCCGTGATCGAGGGCGGAGGTCTCCATCTGTCGTCGATGCGATCGGGGTTGGTAAGTTTGACGTCGGGCTTTGGTTTCGAGTCCACTTTGGGCTTCCTTGTGGCTTTTGGAGGTGCCATGGGGAGATTTGCTGATCGCGGCGAGAGAACCTCCATGTCAAATTGACGGTCTTTACAGACACTTGGTGTAGTATCGCAGCCGCCGAAGGTTCAATGAGACGAAGGTAGCTGCTGTTGCAGCTTGAGCCATGGAGGCAAATCAGTTAGAGTGGCAGTCAGTTTCATTGACGACGAAAAGGGATAGGAAATAAACATTGACTAACCACAAAAGGCAAAGTCCAGCTATTGCTTGGCGTGTTTGTCACCGATGCGGAATTTTCATTATCCGGCGAGGGGTACTCAGGGTCTCCCAAGATCCCGAATGCTAGCTCATTGGAGCTCAATGCGGACGGCCCCGAGCTACAGCCAAACGAGCCCGATCAAAAGTCGCTCGGACTTGAGGCTCACCAATTACTCCTCTTGATGGCTCATTGATTTTCTAACTATATCTGGCGATTTGAGAGTATTTCAAGATGATTCAGCATAACTAAAGACTGATTGATGTGTGACCACTATTGATGGCGTCTGCTGAATGCCTATCGCTTCACCGGAATCTGTATCAACATGTCGCTTGCTCTGAAGTTCACTTCTCTCGCTATTCGTACTCTCTCTAAACCAATAGCTGTAAGTTAACACAGAAGTCTTTACCCTGTCAATCCTCTCTGACTCTGGAAGAATTTCATCAAGAAACAAGCGCGCGAACATGAAGGCTTCCGCCGGACCTGCATCTCTTTCGCCCAGACTCTCCACAGAATTGACATGCGATGGCGGATAGGTCTCCTACAAGATGCTGCGGCTCTGGAAAGACAGGTCGCGAAAGAACAGGCGGCAGAGGCTGCTAAAAGGCATAAACATACCAACGTCCCTACAGTGAAGACAGAAGCACAGATGAAAGCTGAAGAGGAAGCTGCCGCAAGAGCCACCAAAGAAGTACCGGAACCTCCAAAGCCACGCGCAAAACCCAAGATCAGACCTTTATCCGAAGCGAAAGCAATCGAGTCGGGCGCCAACTTTATAAGCGAGGCCTTTCTGTTCAGTGTTGCGGCTGGCCTCATACTGTTTGAGTCGTGGCGGGCTGGCAGGAAAGAGAGCCAACGGAGGGATGACGTCGCTGAGAGGCTGAACGACTTGGAGGAGTCTGAAAAGGCTGCCCGAAAAGCATTGGTCGAGTTAGAGAGGGAAGTCCTCCGCCTGCGGGCACAAGAGAAGAATGGAAAGCCAACTACTACAATAAGACTACTGCCGAAGGAGATATATGAGGAAGACGAAGGAGACGAGAGGGAAGCGAAACCAGCCGGCTGGTTGTCACGCATCAGATCCTTTGTATCCTTCAACAAGGATGAGAAGGAGACAAAGGAAACTCTAGCAGAGAACAAGCCGGGGCCTGCTGAAAAGATCCTTGTGCAGTCTGATAAGGCGTTGGAGGAGAAACATAAGCAACAAAAGGCCCTCGAAGCAGCACAAAAGGCGGTCGCCGAGCAGAAACCCCAAACAGTGAGAGGCTGAAGGAGATAGTAATGAGGATACCTACACGGTACCCGCCTCCTTGGCACCAGGATGATGTTGACCAGAACTCTCGACTCAACATTTGTACAGTTACCTTGATACAGAGATACCCCCAGTTGGAAAAAAAGAGTCCAAAATGATCCACGCGAAGTTTTCCGTCTTGCTTCGTTCTCGACCAGAATGGCGCACGTTGGGACTTGACCTGGTCGCATCAACGACCTACAACTTCCAAGGTCATCAGTGAGGTTCCCGAAACAAGAGCAAGCTGACGGCTTTACCAGAAGACGAAGCGTGTGACTGCGATCTTGTCATGCCACTCGCGGGGTACAAGCGGCCGGCCACGCTCAATGCCCTCTTGCTCTGGTCCACCGATCCCATGGCCTCCGTCGAAGCACGAATACGCTCGTTCCTGCTGGATGCGAAGCAGGCGACCGATCATTATGTTATTGCGGTGGTTAACAACAAGGGAGGCTCTATGCACGCCTTTCAGATATTCTCATCTCTGCAGAGCCGGTAAAATGCTTGCCCCCCCTGAGACTTTTCATCATCCCAAGAACTCTGACAGTCCACCAGGATGTTGGATGTTTCGCCCGTCCCCATTCTTATTGCGCTGTCGATCGAAAGCATTCTACCTACGATTGAACGCTACATTCAAGAGCTGCACAAGAATTTCGAGATCAAGTTACCACCACTCCCTATGCCTACGACTTTGGTCGCTCATGCCTGTACCACTGCACCCATTCGGCCACTCTCGCAGCACGATGCGAATGTCCTGACTGGCCTTTGCCATTCCATGCGAGAGTTAGAAGAAGCTACAAGAACAAGCAGCGGAAGGGAGCAATTGGCGGAGCATCTGGGACCGGCCGTCACCAAGAACATTGTCGATTTCTGGGAAGATGGATGGATCGGATCGTTTGATCACGTGTTGAACTGCTGACCTGGACGCTCGATGGAGCCAGAGCCCTCTCGATGCATGCTACATCAAATCTATGCAAACTTTGATGTCATTTCATCTGCATCCCATTGTCACCATGAACCCCCGAGCCTACGTGATCCATCCTCCTCTGTACATCTGGCTGATTTCTCTTCATCCAAGCCCACACTTTGTGGAACTTGCGACAGCGGTGGAAGGCGCTGGAGTCTGGACACCCGTCTGGCTTGGCCTGGTCATCAATGATGAGCAGTGGCGTCACATCACCCTGGCACATGATGGTCTTGCGCAACGTCTTGATACAATGGTCGACGTCCATGCGTAGACCGACCGGTGAGACCTTGAGATCTGCTGGCGTGCGTACGGTGTCGGTGTGTCGGGCATAATACGAAGCCCCGCTGTGTTGGCGGACTACATCCTGGGGACACGCGAAGCATGGGCATCAGCTGATGGCAAAGTTGCGAAGGGTGATCTGTCGAAGATCGAGCGGACACTCACCAAGCAGTGAAGTTAATGGAAGACCTCCAAGGATGCTTGGAAATGGTCAGTCCTTCTATTGATTCTGGCCACAGTACGGCCATCAGGGAAATGCTCCTGTCGATTTAGCTCGGGCAGCTTGTCGCGAGGAATGCCGACGTAGCCAAAGCGCCAGAGTTCTTCCCAAGCGGCATCCAGCTCTGGGGTTGGCGGTCCACGATACCGGCTTTCGGCGGCAAATTCATTGTTGATGTCGAGGTCGAAATATTCTACATTGTCTCGCGCCGGCGCTGCAAGCGGTCAGTCCTTCGCACAGGAAAAAGCTCTCGCGATTGATACCCACACCAAAGATCGTTCCTGCTGTTGCAGACCCCAGAAAGCGATCTTGCTGTGATCCAGGAGGTGATGCCGGAAGCTACCAGTGCCACCAAGGCGGCAAGGAGGACTGTCAGCCGGGCAGATCTGATTCTCTGTCGTATTCTTCTCTTGCCCCGCCGTGCCGTTGTGTCTTTGTTCCAGAACGGCGAGACCTCTTCAACAAGACCTTCGCTCTGCCCCCCCACACCATCAGGAGGATGGCAATCCAGTGTCGTCATGCAAGCGAAGCCCATATTGACAGAGGAATACTCGCAAAGAGGCGGTCGCCAGAGTCCGATTTCCTGCCGATTTGAGAGTTCAATTCCCTAGGTGAGGACATAACGTCCCTTCAAAATGGGGACACTAGTTAGGAGGTTACCAGAAGCCCCCGTTCTAGTCTGACCTGAAAGCCGTCGAGCCCGCTACAGCGTGTTCTCGCGAGAAGGACACGATAGCTGTTGGCAGATGGATTCAGCTGGCCCTTGCGTGACATCTGCTTCGCCTGCTTTTGAGGTCTGTCAAAGGCCGCCGAATACACGAGAATTTTGGCCGCGACCTCACCGTTGCACGGCAATCTACTTCTTGCTGCGTAACATACGACTAATGAGTGGAAGAATCGGGCGACTACTGATGAGCAACTGTGTGTTTGATGAGGATAGGCACGTTGATGCCGGGATCCTACAAGGGCAGCTACTTCAAGTTACTTCCGAGAGCGTTCTCGTGATGCTGTACTTCTCAATGGCACGTAGATGCTGCAACTCAAAGGCGGAGGGGATGGACTCACCTCCTTTCCACTGGGTGATCAAAGCTGCATGGCTGCTCATCGTTCCAGCACGAATCCTTGAATGTTGTATTTACCACCCTCATCCGTTACCCTCCGCAACATCCGAGGTGAAGTATAAGAACTGATCATGTCCAGCAGTCAACGTTCCAGCAAGCTTCTCACTCAAAAGTACCAACCGTCTCAAAGGCCAACAAACACCCTGCCACACCATGTTGATTTCAACGCTGTTTTTGTTGCTCCTCTCAGCAATCTCTGTCCTAGCACTGCCGGCCAACAAAGCCAACGACATGACACACGCCCAATCTAAGCGTCTATTCGCCACCAGAGTACATTGAAGGAGCTGAGGACGAGGAATTCGTTGAGGCGTACCCAGCATATGCCAACGCCGCCGACTCAGCAAAGGTTATGGGGAAAGCAGAAGCACAGGATTTGGCCAAGCGTCGGTTTGCTGCCGAGTACATTGAAGGGGCTCTGGGGGAGGAGGCGGTTAAGGCGTATCTGGCCTATGTCAATATCGCAGACTCGAAGATGGTGTTGGGAGAGTAATATCAACTCATTGACAACAAGGGGGAGGAACCGAATAGCGATTGTCAGATGTCAAGAGATCGACAATAAGCTCATCAAGACTGAACACAGCCGCCGTTTGTATGGTGAAACAGTATCTGGGGAAGCACATGCACATCACAGCACAAGTACAAGTGTTACCTGGCACGAGAGTGGATTAAAGGTGCCGACTGGCATGAGATATGTAGCGAACCATTTCCTCGGGATCCAGGCCTGTGATTGAGGAATGTGAGGTTGAATGTATGGTGATGTATTGTTCACGTCTTCAAACAGGATGTTGAAGGTAGGAGGCGAACAGACGTCGCAAGAGGCTCAAACCTCTTGACTTGGTATTTACCCACCTCTGTTGGTGTCCTTTACCTAGGTACTCAGTAGGTAGTTCTTGTTGCTCGCCAGGCAGAATTCAGACAGTGTGGACCTCGTGGGAGACGTGGAGATGCACAGTGAGGTTGATCCTGAGTCTGCAATTAGTGGTGTTTGGAGTGGCCGCCAAGAAGATGACGGATCATCACCGATTGCGTGTCGGGCGCGTCACAGCCACAGCGGAGCGCGAGAGTGTGGCAATGGAGATTGGAGCATATGAGAGCCTGTCTCGGGAGTGGCAGCCTGTGTGTTAGTACGTAGGTAGACAAGCTGCTGGTTGAAAGGGAATTAATTGTGACTGACCAGACTGACTAACCGCAGGTTCCGCTATAGCGCCGTTAGTATGTCATAGTCCCTTCCACTCCGGCCGCCTGTCACACGTCGCCCGTCGCAGGCATCGACAAAGCACCACTGCCACCAGCACCGCCGCACTCAGACTCAGTGCCAATCTCATTCTCATTCTCAGCGTGACAGGAACAAGGCCACCGAGGCTTTTCCAATTGTCCTTCTTCCGTGATTCTTCGCTTTCAATACTTCTCACTACCCTTCTCGTATTCAGTACATGTCCCTCAGGCACTCCTGCTATCCTATCTCTTTCCTGCCCATCTCCCCTCCCCGCGCGCATGTCCTAAACAATCAGAACCTCCGCCATGGTCAGTGTCCGCGCCATAAATCACTTTGATGCAACCGCACTCACTTACTCTCGACTACTAGGGTCAAACAAAGCGCCGCGAAGGCAAGACCTCTCGCGCCCCTAAATCTTCTCTGTTCGGTGGCGGCAAGTCGACACAGGCGGATGCCGGGCAGCCCCAGATCAAAAAGGCGACCTTTGAAATCACAAAAAAGAAGGAAGTGGGCGTTTCAGATCTCACGCTGTTGAGCAAAGTTTCCAATGAGGCCATCAACGACAATCTCAAGAAGCGCTTTGAACATGGCGAGATCTACACCTATATCGGCCATGTGCTGGTCTCGGTCAACCCTTTCCGTGACTTGGGAATCTACACAGAGCAGGTCGTCCAAAGCTACCGAGGGCGAAACCGTCTCGAAGTCCCACCCCACGTGTTTGCCGTCGCAGAGTCTGCCTACTACAACATGAAGGCCTACAAAGACAACCAATGTGTCATTATCTCGGGCGAGTCGGGCGCGGGCAAGACGGAAGCCGCCAAGCGCTTGATGCAGTACATCGCCAGCGTCTCTGGCGGAACCGATTCCAGAATTCAGAGGACTAAAGACATGGTCCTGGCTACCAATCCGCTCCTCGAGTCCTTCGGCAACGCCAAAACACTGCGAAATAACAATTCCTCTCGCTTTGGAAAATACCTCGAGCTCGAGTTTAACGAACAAGGTGAGCCGGTGGGGGCCAAAATCACAAACTACCTGCTGGAGAAGAGCCGGGTGGTGGGACAGATCACGAACGAGAGGAACTTCCATATTTTCTATCAATTCACAAAAGCCGCCCCGAAAGAGTATAGAGATGTGTTCGGTGTTCAGCAACCTCAGTCGTATGTATATACGAGCAGGTCAAAATGCTTCGATGTACCCGGAATAGACGATGCGAGCGACTTCCGGGAGACCCTCAACGCCATGCAGATTATTGGTCTGTCCAAGGCTGAGCAGGACAATATCTTCCGTCTTCTGGCAGCCATTTTGTGGATTGGGAACATCACATTCAGGGACAATGATCAAGGAGGCGTTGATATTGCAGACGAATCCGTGGTGGACTTTGTCGCCTACCTGCTAGAAGTTGAGTCTGCTCATGTGCACAAGGCCATGACCGTCAGAATCGTCGAAACAGCCCGTGGTGGCGGACGCCGAGGGTCCATCTACGAATCGCCCTTGAACCCGGTCCAGGCTAGCGCGGTTCGGGACGCTCTTGCCAAAGCCATATACTTCAATCTATTCGATTGGATTGTGGCGCGTACCAATGTTTCACTGAGATCCCAGGGCACGGTGAAGAACACGATTGGCATCCTCGATATTTACGGATTCGAGATCTTTGAGAAGAACTCGTTCGAGCAACTGTGTATCAACTACGTCAACGAGAAGCTGCAGCAAATCTTCATCCAATTGACATTGAAAGCCGAGCAGGAAGAGTATGCCCGCGAACAGATCCAGTGGACTCCAATCAAGTATTTCGACAACAAAGTCGTCTGCTCTTTGATCGAGGACAAGCGACCACCCGGTGTTTTCGCTGCCCTCAACGACGCTTGCGCAACAGCCCACGCGGATTCTGGAGCGGCCGATCAAACCTTTGTTGGCCGACTGAATTTTCTTTCGAGCAATCCCAACTTCGAGAGCAGACAGGGTCAATTTATCATCAAGCATTATGCCGGTGATGTGAGTTATCAGGTTGCGGGAATGACGGACAAGAACAAGGATCAATTGCTGAAAGATCTGCTAAATCTGGTTAGCGAAAGCTCAAATGGATTTGTCCATGAGCTATTTCCAAATCAGGTTGATCAGGATGACAAGCGACGACCTCCAACTGCTGGGGACAAGATTAAAATATCCGCGAACGAACTGGTTGATACCCTTATGCAAGCCCAGCCGTCTTACATCCGAACTATCAAACCCAACGAGAACAAGTCGCCCAAAGAATACAACGAGCCTAATGTGCTCCACCAGATCAAATACCTGGGTCTGCAAGAAAACGTTCGCATCCGGCGAGCTGGTTTCGCCTATCGTCAGACGTTTGATAAATTTGTGGAAAGATTTGCCTTGCTGTCACCTAAACTGTCATACGCCGGAGAATACACCTATACAGGAGATGTCAGGACTGCGTCGCAAATTATTTTCAAAGATACAAGCATTCCAAAGGAGGAATATCAGATGGGTGTAACCAAAGCATTCATCAAGACTCCCGAGACATTGTTTGGACTAGAGCATATGAGAGATCGCTATTGGCACAACATGGCCGTCCGCATTCAAAGAGCTTGGAGAAACTATCTGCGGTACCGGGCTGAAGCTGCCACGAGGATTCAAAGATTCTGGCGCAAATCCAAGGTTGGCGTTAAAGAGGTTGAATTCAGAGATCAGGGACACAAACTCCTGGCTGGTCGGAAGGAACGTCGCAGATACAGCCTGGTTGGTTCAAGACGTTTCTTCGGCGACTACCTCGGTCTCAATATGCCGGGGGGTCAGGGCCGTGTTCTGAGAGATGCGATCCATCTCAATCCCCAGGAGCGCTGTGTGTTCTCGGCGCGTTGCGAGCTGTTGGTCACAAAATTCGGACGATCCTCGCAGCGGATGCCCAGGATTCTTGTCCTGACCCCCAAATCGGTTTACATCATTGTGCAGGCCGTTGTGAACAACCAACTTCAAATCTCTGCTGAGAGGACAATCCCCATCGGCGCGGTGAAATACATCTCATGCTCAAACTTGCGGGATGACTGGTTTGCGCTGGGCATCGGGTCTGCTCAGGAGCCAGATCCTCTCCTCAACTGCGTTTTCAAGACTGAATTCTTCCTGCAGTTCAAGACCGTCGCGGTCGGCGGAATGAACCTCAAAATTGGGCCCCAAATTGAGTACAACAAGAAACCTGGCAAACCTGCTGTGGTCAAAGTCCAAAAAGATCCAGCAATCGCTCGGGACGACGTGTACAAGTCAGGAACGATCCACGTTCCGCAAGGAGAATCTCCAAACTCAGTCTCGAGACCGACTCCGCGCGCCAAAGCAATTGCCAGACCTATCACCACTGGTAAGTTGCTCAGACCGGGGGGACCAGGAGGTCAGCCATCGAAGACGGGCGCCAGACGACCTGTACCCGCAGCCAGGCCAGCAGCGCAAACTCATCGTCCCGTTCCAACGCCAGCTGCTGCTCATGCCCTTCCTCAGCACGCCAACGGCCCTTCCTCGCACGCTCGAAACGATTCAGGATCATCATGGGGCCGAACCGCTCCTCCACCGCCCCCGCCCCCGCCCCCGGCTGCTGCTCCTGCCCCAGTGCCATCCACACCTCAAGCTAGAGTGAAGTACGACTTCAACTCACCCAATGCGAATGAGCTTTCCATCAGGGCAGGAGAGATGGTGGAGATTGTGCAGAAAGAGAACAATGGTAAGCACGCTTGGAATTCTCGATTGCTCTTGACATTGGAACTAACGTGGACTGCCTAGGCTGGTGGCTCTGCAAGAATCCTCAAACCAACGCGCAAGGTTGGACGCCGTCAGCCTATGTAGAGGAGATTGAGCAGGTGCGCGTCGCACCTCCGCCGCCTCCGCCACCCCCAGCTGCACATCATCGCCCGGTCCCTACGCCATCAGTTGTGGTCAACGGAGGCCCGAAGCCTGGGACGCCGCCGGTTGGTGGCAGAGCCAAACCGACGCCTCCCGCACCACCGGCCAAGCGACCGGTTCCAGGAGCAAGAAAACCTGACGCCTCCCCAGCCAGGGATAGTGCAGTGGGTCTGGGTACGAACAGCGGGACCAATTCAGGGCGGGCCACGCCGAGTAGCATGGGAGGCGGTAGTCTTGCTGGTGGATTGGCTGAGGCATTGAGGGCCAGGCAGAGTGCGATGAGCGGGAGGGACAAGGATCGCGACGAAGACGACGACTGGTAGACGAGTTGCTGGAGAGATTGTTGAATGCGGGTCATGAATGAAAAGTATGTGATTCCGGGCTGA